AGGCACACCAAAGCCTCCATCAGTTCCAGGCTTCCATGCTACTCTTTTAACCAACTGAAGGAGGCTCTCTTTGCAGACAGCTTCAGGAAAAGATCTGAAATTAATTTTGGCCAGACTTGGGTCACATACCTCTTCCTGAACCAGTCATGGTCTTCAAAGAGAATATAATACTTTCCAGGGCCCAAGTTGTGTACCCAACCTTGGGGACAAGATGAGGGATGGTTTCCCAAAGGAAAATCAGAGTGCTGTTACCTGACCTAAATATTTACTTAAGAAAAATGAACATGTGTCTAAAAATACATGTATGATTGCTGATAGCAGTTTTATTCATAATAGCAAAAAATGGAAATAGGTATACTATCAAAAGAGAACTCGTTTGTTCATACAAAGAATTGGATTCAGCAATACAAAGGAATAAACTCTTGATACAGCAACACAGGTATATCTCAAAACACATTAAGTGAGAGAATCCAGACAGTAAAGAATATGGATGGTGTGATTATGTTTTATGAAGTTCTGGAACAGGCATAAAACTACTCTGTAGTGGGAAATATCGCAATAGTGGTTCCCTCTGTGGGTAGAGATAGAAAGTGTGGCCTTCTAAGTCAGTGGAAAGAAGAGAGTGCTAGGACCCAGAAAATTTAGGGCATTGGGCCTTGCCTCACAACTCATAAAAATGTCCGGAAACCTTATGAGAATTATGTAACCTTTCTTGATTTGAAATTATTGCTGAGATAGCTGGGACCCTTGGACTCATAAACAGGCAGCTTGTGCTGAACGTTCAGTCTCCTCCCAGCTGGGAGCTGCCTGGCCTTTTAGTCACATGTGGTTTTAAGTCCCCCGTTCCCACTTGCGTTGCATCAGCAGGCTTAGTGTTCTCAGAACGGAGAGTCACAGAAATCCTTGCCTCTACTTAGAGTATGTTTTCTGGGGAAATTCAGTTTCACAGCTGGTTAGATCCAGAGATAGCAGTGATTTGTTGTAGAATTGTAAAATGAGGTGATTCCCCCAGACTGGGCACTCGCCAGTAGGCAAAGCTCAAGCAGGAGAGTGCCCTTCCCTGGCGGGCGAGTGGTTGCTCCCCCAGGCTTGGGATGCGTCAGCGTTTGTTTTCTATTGCGCATGCCTTTTGCTGCTTTGCTCCGCTTTACACCGTCCCTGCCTTTTTTCCTGGCAGCCCCTTGACCCATATCTACAGATGAGGAGGAGGCAGCTCGTGTTCAACTAGTGCGCGTGCTGTTCCAGGCACTGCCTAGCACTGTACTTATGTAGTTAATCCTCAAGAGGGTGCTCTGGTTTTTATAGAGATTGAGAAAAGTTCAGGAATTCCCCCAGGGTGAGAACTTGATAGCTGTTCTGTCCCCATTCCTTTCCTTGGAATCCTCCTAAAATACTGCTGTCAGTTCATTTCCCTGATGGCTATTTTGCCAGCGATCACAAGGGGGAAGCAACCAACACACTCACGACCATTTTTTTCACTTCTAGTATAGTATTCAGTAAATTGCATGAGATAGTCAACACTTTTTTATAAAATAGACTTTACGTTAGATGATCTTGCCCAGCTTTGGCTGCTTTAAGTATTCTGAGCACGTTTAAGGTAGACGAGGCTAAGCTATGACATTTGGTAGGTTATGTGTATTAAGTGCATTTTCAGTTAACGGTATTTCCAGCTTGCAGTGCGTTTGTGGGAATGTAACCCCATGGAAAGTTGAGGATAATCTGTATATTGCATATGCAGAAAGTGGCATACAAAATGTAAATCATTTTAGGTTGCTGGGATTTGCTTTAAGATATTTTTTAATGTTTTTATACTTTTTTTTCACTTAAATTAGGGAAAAATGGAAATAGAGGTGTGACCAGAGTGCTCTGGAGAGCCAGGGGAGTTACTGGCTGCCTGGGTGGTTAAGGAAGGCCCCAGAGAAGAGGGGGCATTGGAGTAGGGAGAGCATGCTGCCGCCACTTGTTCGTCAAGTCCCAGGTGGGGGCATCAAGGTGGTGGTAACAGCTTGATGGTCCATTTGGAGAGCTCACGACTGACTGGTTCCAGAGATAGCAGTAGTTCATTGTTAAATCATAAAATGAAGTTGTTTTCCAGGCAGAGCCATACCTAGTAGGCAGAGTGATCTTCCAGAATTCTGTCACTCATCTCAGCACTTCAGAATTACTTCACATTGGATAGAAATGAGGTGAGATGAAAGCATTTTAAAAGTCACAAGTCAGCATTTATATGTGAAGGCATCCAGACAGTTGGTGTAGGGGCTGAGTGTCAGAGGCCTTAGACAGGTCTTGTCAAAAATGGGCCCCTCCTTTCCCACCGTTGTCTTCTGGTTGCAGTATTAGGCCCTGCCTGGCTTGGTATTTGACCAACTCCTTCCCCTCCAGACCACGTGAGGCAACTTCTTCACTTTGATTTGCTGGAAGTTTCAACCTCAACTTCCTGTGTCTGTCTCTGCATCTTCTACTTGCACAAGGTTTTATAAGGTATACACTTTGTCTTCTTGTATATACATGGAATGTCTCTGGAGAAGTATCCAAGAAACAACAGTGGTTGCCTCGAGGGGTGAGAGATTTTGTTGTATTTTTTTTAATCATTTGAATTTTTTTTTTACTGTGTGCAAGTATTATCTACTTAAAGTTTTTTTTTCCTTAAGAGAAACAGACTTTATGTCTGACCACAGTGAGACAGAGAGACGGGATGATATTACAGTAATGTAATGAGAGCCTAAACTAAGACAGTGACAGGTGTGGTGGGAGAGTAGGGGCTGGATTCAAGAGAAACTTCTAAGGCAAAATCAATAGAATTTGAATGGGGATTGAGGAAGGAGATGAGCAACGAGGAGAAGCAGGGACTCCAGGGTTTCTGGCTTGGGAAGCCGGCTGGACCGTGATGGGCACCGTTAACCCACTGCTGGAAGGCAGAGTAGTGCAGGACAGGAGGTGTGAGGTGTCTAGGGGGCTTCCTGGTTGAGTTATTCAGGTAGCAGCTGCAAGTCTGAGTTGGGAGCCTTGGAGAGAAGTCAGGGCTGATGACGTCGATGCAGAATTTTAAGAATTTGGGGGCTTGAAGCTGGTGAGAGTGCTCAAGGAGTACTTAGAGAATAAGAAGAGGATGCCAGGGTGACCTTCCCCTGGGGTGGAGGAGCAGGGCAGCAGAAAAATAGTGGAGGTTGGAGGCCTGGAAACCCAGAGGACAGAGCTTTGAGGAACAGTGTGTGGTCAGGTCTTCTGGGCAGCAGAACGCTCCAAGAGCTGGCAGGAGATCACCGGGGATTGAGAGAGAGCCAGATGCGATGGATTGAGGCATGAATGGGAGTAGAAGTGAGGCTGGTGGGGACTGTGCCAGCTCTGTGCTAGGTACGAAGAATAAAGTGATCCCCACCCTCAGAGAGATTGGACACGCTAGGGGAGGAGACAGATACACACAAAGAGAATTTTAATTGGTTTCGTAGGCACAGTAGAGAGATGCACAGGGAGTAATGGGAACACAGAGAAGGGTAACTTCACCCAGCTGAGAAGACTGGGGGTTTCTGCCTATGATTAGAGAAGGGGGTGACTTGGTAGTAAGTTAAGTCTTAGAGAATAAATAGTTAAGTCAGGCAGAGGGTTAGGGGTGATTTGATTTCAGGAGGAACATCCCAGTTAGAGGGAACAGCACAAATATAGGGCACTGGGATAAGAAATTACATGGTACGAGATAAAAAAAACAGACCAGTTCATGTTGCTGTAATATAAAATGTGAGGCAGACAGGGATGAGAGGTGATGGGATACGGGGAGATGCGGGGATGAAAACCTCTTCATGGAGGTCTGTGTCCTATGTTAAGAGCTTGACTTCTTCTGGAGGCAGGGATTTGAAAGCTCTTGTTGGGGAACAGCATGGCCACATTTGTCTTTTAGATGGATGTTCCTGGGGCTGTATAGAGGGTGGATTTGATGGAGACGAGAAAGCGGGAAGGAAGAAGACCGGTTAGGAGGCTGCAGTTTAAGTTACAGAGGGACCAACCTGATACGGCCTGAATGAATAAAGGATTAAAAAGAAGTGGACAGAGTCCTGAAATACTGAGGCAGTAAAACAGCTGAAGTGGTGATTGATTGGACAGGGGGATTGAGGGAGAGGGGAGAGTTGAAAATAACTTGGTTTCCAGAATAGGTGGCTGAGTGGGTTATGGTAACATTGACAAAGAAGGAGCATGCCACCACATTTAACAGTTTTATTGATAATATAATTCACCTACCACACAGTTCACTCATTTAAAGTGTACAATTCATTGTCTTTTTGAAAGTATATTTACAGGGTTGTGCAGCCATTATCATAATCTAATTTTTCTGGACACATTAGTTTAAATTTTTTTTTTATTATGGAACATTTTTAGCATACAGAAGTGGAATCACGTAAGGAATGTCTATGTTGGGCATAGTGATTTGGGGTCTCCTGTGGTGGAGGTGTCCATCCAGCAGGAGAATGTAAGATTCTGAATCTTGGGGAAGCCATCAGGGCCGGTGATAGGTTTGGGAGTCCATGCCATGTGGTTTGTAGTTGATGATGCAGTAGCCTGCAAGAGCCAAGGGAAGAGCCTTCACTTAAAAAAGAAGTTTGCTCCCAGCCCTCCCTGTCCCGCAGTCTGAGCTCCAGAGGTTCTGCTTGTGTGTGTGTGTGTGTTGCTGCAGGCAGACTTGGGGCCTTGCCCTTGAGGTTGGACGGGTGGGTGGTACTGGTCACTGGCGCGGGGGCAGGACTGGGCTGAGCCTGTGTCCCAGCTTTTGCAGAAGGAGGTACCACAGTTGTTGTGAATGATCTAGGAGGGCACTTCAGGGAAGTTGGTAAAGGCTCCTTAGTTGCTGATGAGGTTGTTGAAGAAATAAGAGGGAGAGGCGAAAAAAGCAGTGGCCAATTATGATTCAGTGGAAGCAGGAGAGAAGGTTGTGAAGACAGTGCCAGATGCTTTTGGAAGAATAAACGTAATCAGCAGCGCTGGGATTCTGAGGGACCGTTCCTTTGGTAGAATAAGTAATGGAGACTGGGATATAATCCATAGAGTTCATTTGTGGGGCTCATTCCTGGTGACCTGGGCAGTATGGGATCTCATGAAGAAACAGAATTTTGAAAGGATTATTATGACTTCATTGGCTTCAGGAATACATGGCAACTTCAGCTAGGCAAATTATAGCGGTGTGGAGCTGGGTCTTCTGGGCCTTCCAAATAGTCTTGCACTTGAAGGCAGGAAAATCCACATTCATTGTAACACTGTGGTCCCTACTGCTGGATCACAGATGACCCAGAGTGTTTTGCCTGAAGATCTGCTGGAAGCTCTGAAGCCAGATTATGTAACACCCCTAGTCCTTTTGTTTTACCATGAGAGTTGTGAGGAAAATGCTGACTTGTCTGAGGTTGGAGCAGGATGGATTGGAAAATTACAATGGGAGCAGACCCTTGGAGCCACTGTAAGACAGAGGAATCAGCCAATGACTCCTGAGGCCAGTTGGACAAAGATCTGTGACTTTGATAATGCCACCAAGCCTCAGAGAGTTCAAGGAAAATTAAAATGTGAAGCAGTTGTTGCTGATGTCCTGGATAAAGGACGCAGTTTAGTACTTCTTGTGGATGTCTGTTCTTATTCTGGGGAGGAACTTACATGTTATAATCAGTTCTCTGCCTGCCTTGTTGGCTCTGGAGTCTTTGGTAGAAAACAAACAACAGACAAAGCCAGGGTAGCTGTAGCCATACCTAATGGACCTCCTGATGCCACACTTACAGATACCATCTCACTTAATCAGGCTGCTTTATACTGCCTCAGTGGAGACTGGAATCCCTTACACCTGGACCCTAACTTTGCTAGCTTAGCAGGTTTCGACAAGTCCATATTATATCGATTATGTACATTTGGATTTTCTGCCAGGCATGTTTTAACAGCAGTTGGCAGATAATGCTGTGTCAAGATTCAAGGCAATTAAGGGTCGTTTTGCAAAGCCAGTATATCCAGGACAAACTCTACAAACTGAGATGTGGAAATAGAATCCATTTCCAAACCAAGATCCAAGGAACTGGAGATGTCGTCATTTCAAATATGTATGTGGATCTTGTGCCAACATTTGATGTTTTAGCAAAAACATCACCTGAAGGTGGGGAGCTTCAGAGTACTCTTGTGTTTGAGGAGATGGGTCTCCACCTTCAGGATATCAGACAAGCAGTGGTGAAGAAAGTAAATGCTTTATTGAGTGACGTATCACTAAAGGTGAAAATACTGCAGTTAAGTGGACCATGGACCTGAAAAATGGTATTGGAAAAGTGTATCAAGGCCCTGTGAAAGGTTCTGCTGATAGAACACTCACACTTTCAGGTGAAGATTTCATGGAAGTAGTCTTGAGCAAGCTTGATCCTCAGAAGGTGTTCTTTGGTGGCAGACTGAAGGCCAGAGGGAACATCATTCTGAGACCAGAAACTTCAGATGATTCTCAAAGACTGCCAAGCTCTGAAGGACATACTGCATTATTACTTAAAATAGAAAAATCAAATACCCTCTTCCCCTAAATATGCAAAAGTGATTCAGCAAAAATGGTCAAAATTAAGATACAAGGGAAATTGCTTAACATTTTTGATGCAGGAAAAATGGATGTGGGGCGTTAGGAGGGCCATGTCCCAGGTTTCCGTTGAGCCCCTGGGACGTGCCCTGCCAAGTGTGGGTCCTTGACTTTGTGCAGGAAACAATTCAAGAGCGAGCCACAATTGAGTAAAGGCAGATTTATTTAGAGAGGTACATACTACATAGAGTGTAGGCTGTTTTAAAAGGCAAGAGAAAGGCCACGAGGTGTGGGAGTTGGGCACTCAGGTTAAAGTAAAAGTAGATACACCCTCCATAGATAGATTGCAGACCATCTCCAAAGATGAGGGAGCAAGAGAGGCGGCCACAAGGCACCATTTTTTTTTTTATGACTCAGTAGCTCCATATGCTAACAGGTGGGAGAACCATTCCAACTACCCTGGTAAAGGGGCTGGGATTTCCAGGAATTGACTTTTTTAGCCTTGAAACTGTCATGGCTCCTGTGGGAGTGTCATTTATCATGCTAATATATTACAATGAGCATGTAGTGAAGCTCAAGATCCACTAGACGTCAAATCTCCCGCCATCTTGGGCCTCAAGGCCTGTTGGGAGTCGAATCTTCCGCCATTTTGGTGTTAATTGCTGCATCATTCCTTGAATGGCTGTGTCCTGCCCCCTTCTCTCCTGTCTCATTTTCAGATTTCAGATAACTTTTCAGATTTTCATTTTCTACTAATTTCTCATGTTACCATTTTTACAAGGAACTGTAAGCTGGCATGTAATTGTCCTTCTGTTCTTAGACCTCTGTCTTCATAATAAACGATTTTCAACCCTCCCCACCCCCCGCCAAAAAAAAAGTTTGGAATAGTTGACATGGGAAACTCGAAATGGATGTAACTTTGGGGATGGGGGTCAGGGTAGGAGAGAGGAGGTATATAAAGTAGTAAAAAGTATAAAGTTCTTGCCAAGTTCCTGACACTACTTATCAGTGGGGTTATCAATGAAAGGGGACTGTTGATGAAAGCAGAGGTAGCTGTTCTTGCCTGATGAGCTTCCAGTCTGGTTGGGGAAGAAAACATCTACCTACATACCCTGGCTAGGAAACCGGGTTATAAAGGTAGGTTGGAAAGTCTAGATAGGTTCAGGAAAAATCAAACAAGAGAAAAGTTAGTCTTGAACTGGTTCTTGAAAAAAAGTGTAACATTTGTATCCTTGGCAAGGAGGGAAAGGGTATGCCGTTAAGCCTTTTTGGAAGGTAGGGGTGGAACGGGACAGGACAACTGCAGCTGAGTGCAGAAGGAATGTCAGCAAATAATGACAGATGACACTGGATGTGTCTCAGGGCCGGATCCCATCCCTCACCCTCCTGTCTCATCAGGCGCAGCCTTGTTCTCTGGTCCTTGGACTTGTTCTCAGTGCATTCCCACCCCTCAGCCAACATGCTTACCTTTCCTCCACCTATAAACCCCCGTCTGCTCTGCCTTCCCTGCAAGCCTCCACCCCTGTCTCTGAGTCACAGGCCTGCTAATGGGAAATAGTTGCCTACATTTGCTGCTCCCACCACACCCCTCCTGCATGGTGGCTCCTGTCCCTCCCACTGAAAGTGTTTTCCCTGGGGTCCTCAGGAACATCCTGTCAGTCAGGAGACAGCTCTGAGTCCTTTTCTGTGGCATTGGGTGTTGCTAATCACCCCTCAGGTAAACTTTCCCACTTTGACGGAGATAAGGATTTGGAGATGTCATTGCACAGACGGGGCAGAGGTAGGGGGTTACCTAGAAATGTGTGGGAATGGCGGCCACCAGGCTCCAGCCCTGAGGACAGGTAGGAGAAGGGCCAGCCCAGGAGACTGAGGAGGAGGTGGTGTGAGGTATAGGCAAACCATGCAGGAGGGAGACCCTGAAGCCAGAGGAGGTGGGAGTGAGCACCTGTGTCCAGATGCTGACAGGTCAGGTCACATGAAACAGGAACGGATCTAATGCTTTGACTTGTAGGGGTCATTTGTTCTCAAGCATTTCCACTGGACTGAAGGTGAGGACAGAAGCTAGATTGAAGTGGGTTGAAAAGTCAAATGGGGGTGAGGGAGTAGAGGCACATGCTTGGACAATTTAAGGTTTGCTGTGAAGTAGAACAAAGACAATTGGGTAACTGGACATGAATGTGGGCTTCGGAAGCTCTTATTTTTAAGATGGACTCTCCTGAAGTATGCTTGTTTGCTCATAAAGCATAGGAAAGGAGTATCAGATGGTCCAAGGGAACAGATGAGAGAGGGATTGGTCTTCAGTAAGTACAGGGACAGTTGGCCCTCTGTAGGGGAAGGCAGAGGTGACAGGTGCTGCTCCTTGGAGCTCATCATCTTGTTGGTGGGAATAAAGTTTCTGGCTTCTCTTCTGAGCAAAGTAGGGACCTCAGACATCGGTTAAGAGGACCCAGATCTGGATCTCAGGGCAGGGGCAGAGATACTGAAGAGAAGTTTGAAGTGTCGATATCATCAGGGAAGGTAACTGACTTAACCTGGCAGCATAGTGAGAATGCTTGCTATCAGTGTGATGGGACAGTATAAACTAAAACCTACCTGTCCAGTTGGAGGGCTTCCCCCAATTTAAATATACACAGATGGGCAGGTAGAAGGCAAGTGATTCTGACCAGGATTCTTGCTTTATGTCTCAGGAGTGAACAACTCTTTTTCCCTGCTGTTCCTTCCCAGAGTCTTCCCACCTTTGGTCCACACCTTCACCGTGGTTGTGGCTCAGTGGGTCTTTTTCCTCCTTCCTCTTTGTTCACTTAGCAGATTACCACTAGCATCATCAGTTCCTGCAACTTTAGCCATGGTTTATGCTGACCTTTCTCAGATGTGTCCACTTCTAATCTGTAATCTGAACTCTAGATCCCTGGTTTTGTGTGGTTCTAGCTAATGCAGCTAGACTTCTTTTCTTAAGGGACATGTTCTTCTGTATTAAATGCACATGTGAGAAAAAACAGATCTGTGTCACAGGCAACCAAAGAAAAACAGTTAAGTTCATAAAAATTAAAAACATGCTTCAAAGGACACAATTCAGTAATAAAAAAGACAACCCAGTAAAAATGGGGAAAGAGATCATCAGAGAAGATACACAGATGGCCATTAAATACATGAAAAGATGTTCAGCATCACTAGCCATCAGGGACATACAAATCAAAACTGCTAGTTACCATTTCACACCCACTAGAATGGCTGTCATCAAAAAGACAGTATCACATGTTGGTGCAGATGCAGAGATATTGGAACCCTTGCACATTTCTGATGGGAATATAAAATGGTATCTCCACTTTGGAAACAGTCTAGCAGTTCCTCAAAAGGTTAAATATGGAATTACCATATGATCCAGCAATTGAACTCGTAGGTATATACCCAGAAAATGAAAACACATCCACACAAAAACTTGTCCACAAGTGTTCATAGCATAATCCATAAAGTGAACACAGCCCAAATGTCCATCAGTTGATGAATTGATACACAAAATGTGGTATATGCAAACATGGCTTATTAGTCAACAATAAAAAGGAGTGAAATGCAGAACAAGTAAATCTGTAGGGACAGAAAGAAAATTAGTGTTTGCCTACGGCTGGTGGGGATGAAGACGTGCATCTGTTTAAAATGTACAGCTCAGTAGTTTCTGGTATACTCAGAGTTACGCAGCCATCACTACAATTTTAGAACATTTTCACCGCCTGCCCCCAAAGCCCCAAACTCATTAACAGTCATTCCCCTTCCTTCCTCAGCCCTCCCCTGCAGCTTTCTATGAACCTGCCTATTCTGAATGTAAATGGAATCATATGATAGGTGGTCTGTTGTGTCTGGCCTCTTTGACTTAGCATAATGTTTTCAAGTTTCATCCGTGATGTAGCATGTGTCAGTATTTCATTCCTTTTTATTGTCAAGTAATATACTCTATGGAGTGGATAACACCACACTTTATCCATTCATACAGTTTCTCCACATCCTTGCCAACACTTATGTCTCTTTGATTTTGCCATTCTAGTGAGTGTGAAATGGTATCTCGTGTGGTTTTGATTTCCATTTCTTTGATGACTAATGATATTAAACATCTTTTCATGTGCTTCTTGGCCACTTGTGTATCTTCTTTGTAGAACTGTCTATTCGGATCATTTTTGTGCATGGTCTGAGGTATCAGTCCAAATTCATCCTTTTACATGTGAACATCCAAGCTGTTCTTGTACCATTATCAAGTTGTCTGGGTAACCTTGTTGAAAATCAATTGACCATGGATATAAATGTTTATTTCCAGTCTCTTAATTCTGTTCTCTTGATCTTTATGACTACCCTTTTGCCAGTACCATCTTGATTACTGTAGCTTTGTAGTACATTTTGTAATTGGCAGAACTTTTTCATTTACAAGATTATGTGGCTATTCTGGATCCCTTGAACTTCCATATGAATTTAATGATGAGCTTGTTAATTTCTGCAAAGAAGCCAGCTGAAATTTTGATACTGATTACATTTAAACTGTAGATCAATTTGGAGAATAATGCTATCTTAACAATATTAAGTCTTCTAATCCATGAACATGGAATGTCTTTTCTATTTATTTAGGTCTTAATTTTTTTTAAACAATGTTTTGTAGTTTTCAGGATAAAAACTCTTCTCTTGTTAAACTTATTCCTAAGTATTTTATTCTTTATGATGCTATTGTAAACGTAATTGTTTTCTTAATTTCATTTTTGGATTGTTCATTGCAACTGCTTAGAAATACAGTTGATTTTTGTCCATTGATCTTGTGTCCTGCATCCTTGCTATTAGTTCTAACCTTTTATTATTTCTAATAGTTGTTTAGTGGATTTCTGAAGATTTTCTGTAAATAAGGTCATGTCATCTGCAAACAGAGATTGTTTTACTTCTTTTCCAAGCTGGATTCTTTTATTTCATTTTATTGCCCTGTTGCCCTAGCTGGAACCTCCAGAACTATGTTGACTTGTTCCTGATCTTAGAGAAGAAAGAATTCAGTATTTCACCATTAAGTATGATATTAGCTGTGGGTTTTCAGATACCCTTTATCAGATTGAGGAAGTTCCCACCTATTCCTGGTTTGTAGATTACTTTTTTAATAAACAGAAGCAGAGATTTAAGGTAACAGTGCTTTGTGACTCAGAAAGTGTCTTCACTTAAAATTTTATTTGAATCATTTTACAGACTTTAAAAAAAAATGGAGACCAGAATGCTTGAATCATTTGTCAGGATTATAGCAGCAGAGCTGGGACTAGGGCATGTTGCTTTTGGAAGGTACTTCCAAAAAGTACTCTTGACTTGATTAAACATATTGAGCACAAACATCACTGGAAGAATTCCAGGACAGCTTGCCACTGTATTCATTTCCTAGGGCTGTTGTAAATGCAAGTGACTATCGACTGGGTGACTTAAAAGAAATGTATTCTCTCACAGTTCTGAAGACTGGAATTCAAACATCATGGGGTTATATTAGTTCCAGAATCAAGGGTGGGTTCCTTCTTGAGTGCTCAGAAGGAGAATATGTTCCATGCATCTCTCCCAGTCTAGTGGTTGCCAGGAGTCCTTGGCATTCCTTGGCTTGTAGCTGCATAACTCCACTCTCTCTCTGCCTCTGTCAGACGGCTGTCTTCCCTCCATGTGTGCGCGTGTCTCTCTCCACCTGGCACTCACTATATGTGTGTCTGTGCCTCTTCTTTTATAAGGACGCCAGGCATTGGATTAAGGGTCCACTCTATTCCAGTATGACCTCATCTTAATATACATCTTAATGACTTACTTCCAAATGTCATATTCATAGGTACTGGGGGTTAGGACTTCAACATATCTTTCTGGAGAACAGTTTAACCCACAACAGCCACTAATAAGGTTCTCTTCTCCCCCACCTACTTCAGGCGCCCCCGTATACCATGGCCCTCGTGTCTGCTGATTCCCGCATTGCAGAACTGCTCACGGAGCTCCATCAGCTGATCAAGCAAACCCAGGTAAAAAGCCACAGCCCTCCTCTACTAGAAAGGAATATGGGCTGTGATGCTGAGCTGCAGAAGGGGCAGGGGTGCTTGTGATCAAAGAGATTGGACATGTAGGAACCACAATGATGTAATGAAGGTGAGAGGAGGTGGAGACTTGAGTGTGACTGCCATTCCTGCTAGATTTTCTGTCATGTGCAAGATTTCATGATTCTTTTTGTTTAGCAACAGCTCTATTGAGATAGCATTCACATGCCATACAGTTCACCCACTTAAGGTGTACAGTCCAATAGTTTTTAGGATATTCAGAGTTGTGCAACCATTACCAATCAATTTCAGAACATTTTAATCACCTGACAAAATGCCCCGTACCCAATAGCAGTCACTCTCCTGTTCCCTCCACCCCCTTATTCCAGGTAAATAGGGATACTCTTATCAGGCAAGATATCCTAAGTGTGTTTAAGGGTTATCTCCCAAGAACAGGTCAAAGGCCAAACCTTTTTTGGAATGTGCCGAGTTTGAAAACCCAGGCCTGCTGAATTAATATTTAACTGTAGCAGCCACCCACCCTGGCCCTTGGCCAAGACTCTGTTAGAACAAAACAATCATATTTGAGCATCTGTATTTAGTATAACATTTATGTAGTAGTTACAGCAATAGTATCAGTATGAATATATCTAACATTTGCAGGAGGGGAGGGACAGACTTAAACAACTAATCTGACCTATAGAGCCATTGCATACATTCTCATATTTTTGTTCTAATTTGATCACCTGTTTTCCTCCTCCATCTACCACTGTGTTTGTACCTTATGATAAATTTATGCAAAACTGTTTAGCGTAGAAATTAGCTGATGGTTAGCTAAATCCATTTCTTCCTCAGGCCAGTCATCTTCCATCAGCATTACATTCTCAGGTGACTCTGACTCAGTCTCCCAATACACTTCATCATCAGTATCAGTATTATCATTTGACTTGTTTACACGAGGTAGTTGAGTCCTACCAACAGTGCCATTGTGTTACACCATATGTGTGGTCATGGTGAAATTCAGTTTTATTATAGAACAAATCAGTAGGAATTACAGAGCTATTTGTTACACCTTCCCAACAGAATTGGCGCTGCCAATTTACCAGATATTATTATAGGCAGGCTTTATTACATTGGCCGTGATTCAGTTATTTCTGGGTTCTAAGTCAATGTGGGATAAAGCCAGTCACTCTGTCTCAGCTCGGGCTTGTACTGAGACTGGTTTCCATCATGTGCTGTTGTACAGCAGAGTCCACCTCCCTCCTTTCAGAAGGCCACAGGTAGTTGTCAGAGTGGAAGTCCTGTCTCTGCTGACTGTACTTCAGGTTATGTCTTCTTTTGATCTATTCTCAGGTCAGGGGTAGTCATGGTGCATCAGTGTGAATTATAGTGCCCCAGACGGCTTCCACAGGGTGCTTCTTGGGGCTCAGCTGCTAGGATAGAGGGCCACTGTTCGATGGCTACTGAAGCCTCTATTCGTATTAAAAGAGTCAGGTCCTGGTGGGTCAAGGTGCAAGCCGTTCCCAACAACAGATGGTCCTAGAATTATCCAGCATCATCTGTTGGATTGGCTTGAACCACTTCGCTAAAGCCTCATCATCTTTCCAGACTGATTCCCCCATCCCTTGCCTTCCTCCTGCAAAAGAACTCACTTCTGTTTGTTTATTCTAAATAATGAATCTTTTCCCCCTGAATGCTGTCTCTTGTTAGTGAATTCAGCTTACCCCACAAAGAATGCTCCAGTACCTACATCCCCTGAAGCCCTTTTCTGTCTGTGGGCCAGTGTTGCTTACTCTGCCATGCATTTTGTTGCCACTGTGTGCTAATGGCCTGGGTTTTGCAGTTAGGATACATATTTTGTACCCAAAAATGTTGGATTCCCCATCCTAGGGTTAGATGAATGGCAGTCACACCTAGATGTAATTTAGCCTGAGTATATCATACTGCTCCTCAAAACCTTCCTCATCTAGGGGGATGGGGGAAGGGTCTGTTCCCCAGGGGAATTTGGGCCCACCATTTGCCTGCTGCTGTAATCCTATCAGAAACCCCCCCCTTTTCCCCCAATTCCTTTTAATAGCTTTTCTTTCACAAAAACAGGCAATATGTATTTGTGCAGGCACGCTGTGGCAGGTAGAGAGCTTGCTGTGCTGTGTTCTGTCCATTATAACCAGAAACCTTTCTAAGCATTCCATCATCCAGGTTTGTAGTTACACAATGATCAGTCTGCTGGCAGCCACCATATAGTCCAATGGTCCAGTAGGGAGCAGTTCCCGGAAATTCCTTCCCAAATGACATCCTTTGTAGTGGGATGTAACCTGAAAAATAAGAGTCAGGAGATTTGGCGCACATATTGCCAAGTGAAAGAACCGAGGCTAAAAGGCACTGTACTGTATGATTCCAACTATGTGACATTATAGAAAAGGCAAAACTATAGACAATAAAAAGATCAGTGATTGCCCAGGTTTAGAGGGAGGGAGTGATGAATAGAAGGCACACAGGGGATAGGGAGGTGTAGTCATTCTGTATAATATTATAATGATGGATACATGACATTATACATTTGTCAGAACTTAAAGAACTGTACAACACAGAAAGGGAACCTTAATGTAATCCATGGACTTGATAATTACCAGTATTGGTTCAGTAATTATAACAAATGTACTACACTAATGCAAGATGTTAATAATAGACAAAACTGTGCAGGCGGAAGCAGGTATATGGGAGGGAGCTCTACTACCTGCTCAGTAGACCTAAAACTGCTCTAAAAATAATTTATTGATAAAATTTTAAAGATTAAAAAAAGATACTGGCACATTGGTAGAATTCTGTTCAGTCATCCAAAATTTGTCCAGTTTATCATTACACCATCTAACCAAAATGTTTCTCAGAGGGATGGCCTTCAGGTTTGCAGACTTCCACTTGACTTTGTCAGGTTCTAAAAGCAGAGATGGAAAACCAAAAAAAGATAAAATAAGAAAGAAAAGCAGAGATGATCTTGGCAAACACATAGCTTCACCCTTTTCTTTTCTTTTCTTTTCTTTTTCCAGTGGGATGGTAATTTGGTTTATTTACTTAGTTTTTTTTTAACATTTTTTTTTGATTTATAATCATTTTACAATGTTGTGTCAAATTCCAGTGTTCAGCACAACTTAGTTTTTTGATGGAGGTACTGAGGATTGAACCCAGGACCTCCTGCATGCTAAGCATGCACTCTGCCACTTGAGCTACACCCTGCCCACCACGGCTTCACTCTTAGGGCATCTGGTATAACTGAGTTAAGAGTCAATACTATTCTCGTGTTCTGAGCCTCTCTCAGGTATTAATATAATATTGAATTTCCCTCATTGCATAACCCATTTATTCTTTTACCTCGGCTGCTCTTTCTCCTTCCCTCCATTTGTCATTGATTTTTACCCAGGCTTTTCTGTTCTTTGAGGGACATTAGGTTCAGCCATAGTGCTGGTCCCGATTGCCAGCAACACTAGCCTAGCAAGTCCCCACCTCCCCCCGCCCCAGTCCACTCCACTCCCACTGATGCAGGGTTGGGTTACATAGGTATGGAACTAGTGGGCTGTTGCAGCCACTAGACAGGAGAGCTGCATTCACTGTTAACTCCATTTTGCCAGATGGGGTGAAGGTACACCCTACCCCATCAGGCACTTAGAAATTCTGATATAAGGTTGAAAGGTATAGTTAAAATTTCTTCCTTAGGAATCATCCTAGCTTCAGGCATCTCAGTCGCAGCCCTGGTCCCAGGATCACTGATGTGGCGAAGAATTGTACCAGCATCCTTCCCCACCCCCTCTTCCCCAGATGAATTGGTCATAGATACTTGTGTTAATTTCTGGACTCTCGGTTCTGTTCTATTGATCTTTATGGCAGTATCACACCATTTGACTACTGCAGCTTTGTAGGAAATTTTGAAATTGGAAATATCCTCCAATGTTATTTTTGTTTTTCTTTTCAAGATTGTTTTGGCTATTCTGGGTCACTTGAATTTCTATATGAATTTTGGGATGAGCTTGTCAGTTTCTGCAGAGAAGTCAGCTGGAATTTTGATGGGGATTGCACTGAATCTGTAGATCAGTTTGTCTTTTTGATAAAGGAGGATCATTAAAGGTATAACTTATGATTTATGATTTAACATTAATGCCTTTTGTATTGCTTTTGCATTAACCTGAGAAGGAAATCCTTTTGAACTTCTAGATTTTGTCGTTGGATTTATAAATGAGGGCCATATTTATGGGGCCTCTGGCCTGGGCGGCAGGGTGGTTGCCACAGCAGGATGAAAGGCCTCCCTCATGTCGTGTTGACCTCATCCTTGCAGGAAGAGCGTTCGAGGAGCGAACACAACTTAGTGAACATCCAGAAGACTCATGAACGGATGCAGACAGAGAACAAGAGTGAGTAGCTGGGCTCGGGGGAGAGAGGGGTGGAGGTGGGGGTGTGGGAACAGGGTCGTCATTGTTTTTGAAAGACATTTTTGCATGTATCTGCATAATCCAAAATGACCTGCTCCCTAGGCCTGAGGGACAGTTTTCCCTTAGGCTGGGCAACCTAAGATGAGCCAAGAGACAGTTGACAGGCTGTCTGGCACTAAGGGACCTTAAAATCCCCCAACTGTGGGGACTGGAAAGTCAGCGAAATGATGCTGCGTTTCAGGAAACCCCCTGGAGCCCACAGCACCCCAGGTAGCTGGCATTTTCTAGAGTTTCCCTCCCTGTGTACCCTGCACATGCCCCCGAGGCCCTCGGATGGTCGGACTACCTGGCTGGTGCTTTCCTACCCTGAGCAGCTTTGAGAACTGTTTTCTGTTTTCCCATGTGCTGAGAAGTACTTTCTGCGTGTGTCATGCTATGGCAGGGGTTAGAGAGTCCTCTCCTAGATGTAGTGGTGACACTAGATGACATGTTGTCTGTGCCGAATGAAAATGTGAACATGGAGATACCAACTTCAGGGAGCACTTGAGCCAATAAAGCTCACAACTCGGTCCATGGCCCCTTGGTGCCTCCCAGAGTCTAACTCTGGGGAACTGGAAGCAGTGCCACGTGACTGCCCGCCGCCGCTCGCCCACGTGTCTCTTCTCCGTGTTTACTTTGCAGTCTCTCCCTATTACCGGACAAAGCTGCGAGGCCTCTATACAACCGCCAAGGCCGATGCAGAGGCTGAGTGCAAGTGAGTACTGTCCCACTGCCTCGCCATCGCTTCCCCTCCTCACCGGGGTGCTGGGCTGCAGGGCTGCAGGAGCCCGCGGACCACAGCCCCAGCCTGCCTTTCCTCCCAGGGATAATAGTCTCTGACTTCCAGCCTCTCCTTTAGGGCCCACCTTCCCTAGAGCCACTCTGGCCCCTCTTCCACGGCCATGCTGCTTTATGGATGGCAGAAATACATGATGGAATCCCAGTGCGGCCATCTGCTGGTCACATGACCTCGGGCAGTCACTTCAGCTGAGACTCAGTTGCTCCGTCATTAAAATAGGGATAATAACCACCGACAGAATTGTCAACAGAAAATGGGATAATGCATATAAAGTACCTGATATCAGTACTTTTCAAACTCTTTTGACTATAACCCATGGTTATGCCTGGTGTTGGGCAGTCTCCATATAGAGACACAGGGTGGTGAGGATCCTGCCTTCAAGGGCAAGCAGTCCAGAAAGGAGAGACACCCTGAAAAAAGTGTAATTGGTGGGCCAGCAGAGATGGTGCTCACTGCTCCTGGGGATCTGGGCCCACCTCAGCAGGGAGAAGAGACTTGAGCTGGGGATGGTTAGGCAGACAAGTCAGAGAGCCCAGGCAGAGAGGACAGAGTGCACCAGGTCTGTGGAGGGGCGCCTGCAGACCATGAGCATTTGGGATGAGAACTAGTCCGGTATGGCTGGAGGAGGGCAGGGCAGCATGTGGAGGGTCTCTGGTACCCAGACTTTATCCTGGAGGCCATAAAAAGCAAAAGAAGGCATAAAAGCAGGAGAGAAATGCCTAGTTGCTGCACAGAGAGTAGACTGGGTGAGATTCAAGGGCAGGTAGGAGACTAGGCAAGAGATGGTGATGGAGTTGAGCTGAGACTGTGGCAGTGGGGATGGAGAGGCAAGGGCGGGTTCTGAGATCAAATTGGGGGACCAGTTGGGAGAGGAGGAGGAGAAGATTCTAAGGTTTTTAGTTTGGACAAAGGGATCTAATGGGGCTCCCTAGGCCAGGTTGTGGAGCAGAACAAAAGGATAGGGCCAACTGGCGGGGAGGAGACACAGTGAATTCTGGTTGGAGGTGTTGCCCTTGGCTCTCCATCCAACCCTTCTCCACCCCTACCTTCTCCCTGATTTTCAGATTCATCATGTGGCCATAGCCAGGCCCATCCTACTAGGAGTTTGGCTTGTGTAAGTCAGTGACTCAGGCTTACTTGAGAGTAAAAGGTGAACTTTCCCTTCCCAGCTTAACTGCCAGCAAAGTGCACCGGCTGCTTCTGCAACCAGTTGGTGTGGGCTCTTGTCTGGCATTGACTTACCGGAGTTTAACACTGAAGGCATGTTTCATAACTGCCGGTGCCTGCAGTTCTGCTGCCATTTCACTTTTTCAGACTCTCAGGCCTTCACACATCTGTTCACTAAACACTGAGTAAGTAAGGCATCTTCACCTCCACATACCATGCTGGAATGGGAGAGGGTGAGACAGATAAGACACCGTCCTTGCCCTCAGGGAGCACCAACCTCATCTGGGTGGGGAAAACGTGGTGCAGTATGTGCCTGTGGCACTGACCTAAGTGCTGCAACACACACCAGCTCCTCTAAGTAGATGTGCCAAGAGCCTTGAGGAACTAACCGAAGCCCTGGGACACAATGCTGTTCCTTCTCCCCTGATCCCACAGCGGCCTCCCAGTTGGTTTTCCTCTTCCTGCTTTGCAGAAAATGGAAAGGAACCCCTGTGTCTTCATTTAACAATCATCTCTTTTTTTAAAAAAAAAAGCCTTGAGGTGGCACACTGGCAGCAGAGGTCAAAGGGAAACAGATCAGAGATACCATTTACAGTGTTCCAGTGGAGACGGGTAGCCATTCCGGGTGGGAACAAGGTATTTTCTAACATTGGTTCAAAAGGCATTTCTCAAGATGCTGCTCCATGAGGACACAGTGAACAGCGTAAGGGTTGGTGTCCTCTGGGACACTTTGGCCAGAGATACTCTTTAATAGCCTCACTGAGAGTTCCTGCTAAGGAAGGCAGTTTGAGGAGTGGCTCAGCTAATGCAGGCCGAGGTCCAGTTTAACTTTCCAAGGGCCTGAATATCTCATGGGCTAAAATGTCAAATGCCTGGAGGAGAGAATGGACACCCTAGTGCCTGGGCCATCTTCTGAGCCTGGTGTTAGGGCTGGGACAGCAGGCCATTTGCTGGTGGTCACCTGCGGTGTGGACATCATTCTATGCTGCTTACCAGGGATAATGTATCTAGTCTCGACACACTACAGGATGTGTCAGCTTGGAAGCCAGAGGAAGGTATTTCCTCCTCCTTGGCTCTGACACGGACCACACACGAACACAGACCACTTAAAGGTGGGCGAAGCAGCCATGTGCCTGAGAGGCTAACGTCTATTACCTCTGCTTTCTCGCTGCAGCCTAGGGCTGAGGGCTGCCGTGAAGCAGCTTCATTTTACTCTAGTGGGCAGAAGGGAGGAGGGTTCCATCTGTACAGCTCCTCCCAGCCTAGCTGCTTTCTGTCTGCCTCTGCAGGTTCGACCCTAGCTATCTCAGCAAGAGAGAAGACCCCAAAGGAATTATTTTTCACTCTTTCTCTTTTTAAAAATTCACCCTAGTCAAATAATTATACTGTGAATTTGCCCACAACAATATTGGATTAAAGAGCCAGGACCGTTTAGCTCCTTACTACTAATGGTCAGGGAAGGGTGCTGGGGTTGTGGGGAGGGACGTTAGGGCTCACGGTTCTTGGCTGCATTCAAGGAGCTTCAGCCAGAAGGAGATGTTTCCTCAGCTGTCCCAGCTGAAGTGGGCCTCTCGGGGGTGGCACCATCCCTGAGGGTTGCTGACAGGCTGGCTGGCTGCCTGTGAGAAGGTAGGGACCCACGCTTTCATGGGGGGTCAGCTCGAGGACCTGAAGCTTTTATAGTTCTGAGATGGAGAAGTTTCAGTTCCAGAAAACTGCTCTTTCAATAGTAAATGATCTTAAAACATTGTTTCCTTAGACCTCTGCAGCGGAGCTGCAGTAACTTTAGGAAATGGAATATTACATTCCTCTCCTAGAGATTCACAATGCAAATTAAAGAATAAAAGGCCCTGCTGAGTTCTGCAGTAGCTCCTTTAACTGAGTATTTCACAGACTTGCTTGGCAGTAGAAAATGTTTACACACTGGTTTTCAAGTCTGGCTATGCCAGATTTAACTGGGGGGGAGCTCAGACATTGGTATTGACTTCACTTTTTATTTTTATATAATTTCAGACTTACATAAATGTATTTTACTACATTTGCTTTATTACTCTCTCTCTCTTTATATATATATATATATTCAAAAAATTTTTTCCGAGCCATTAATGTTGCAGACATGATGCATGATGCCTCGTGACCTCTAAACACATCAGTCAGCATTTCCTAAACACAAGGACATTCTTTTTGGGGGGAGGGGGTTGGTGCTTTTTTTAAAATGGAGTTCCTGGGGATTGAACCTAGGACTTTGCACATGCTAAATGCACAGTCTACCACCCCCAACAAGGATGTTCTTAAACAACCATGGTACATTTCTCAAAATCAGGAAATTACACTGATAGAAAATTATTAACTAATCAGACATTATTCAGATTTTATCACTGTCCACTGGCCTTTATAGCAAAAGAACAGAACCTTTTTCTAGTGCAGATCAGTACTGCATTTAATTTTGACATCTGAGTCTCTTTTAGGCTGGAAAGTTCCCGGGCTGGCTCTGCCTTTCACAGCCTTGACATTTTGAAGATCAAAGGCCAGTGTAAAATATGTCTCGATTTGGGTTTGTCTGCTGTCACGATTAGATTCAGGTTTTATGCTTTTGGAAGTAATAGCACGGAAGTAATGTTGTCCTTATTCATCATATTAGAAGGCATAGGACATTGTCGCGTTGGTTAAAGTGGTCTCTTCCGCGTTTCTCCTGGGTCAAGCTACTGCTATTTTCCATTGCATAATTAATGGGTATCTTATGGGAGCTACCTTGAGACAATGCTAATATCCTGTTTCACATCAGACCCACTAGTTTTGCACCTGTAGGTGATTCTTGCTCAAAACAA